TATAAGGAAGAAATTTTTTACGCTGAGGGTGGTGAAACACTGGCACAGGTTGCCCAGAGAGGTGGTGGATGCCCCATCCCTGGAAACATTCAAGGCCAGGTTGGATGGGGCTCTGAGCGACCTGATCTAGTTGAAGATGTCCCTGCCCACGGCAGGGGGGTTGGACTAGATGACCTTTAGAGGTCCCTTCCAACCCAAACTATTCTATGATTCTGTGATTCTAAGGCTAATAATTGCAGACATGAAATATGTCATAGATTTGACAATGCATTATGCACAAAAGTTTCATGGTGTCTGCCTGTGTTGATACTCAAGAAATGGGTAAGGGATTGCAGAGGTGCAGTCTGACTTCTCTAGACTCTTCTAAAATAGTTCTAATATATACTGCTTGTCTTACTATTCTGACTTTAATAAAGCCCGAGACCAACTTAGGCCTCCTTGACCTGTTTATCATGTGTTGAAGAAATTCCCTGCTCTGTTATCCTACTGTTTACTGTATTTATAGCGTTGTTGTACATAGGATGAATGTTCAAAGTTGTTAATGTGTTACTGCAGTTTGCAAAGTCCGAAGTCTGATATGATTACGCCTTAGTTTATAAAACTCTGATAGCCCTCTTCCTAGAGACTGATTACCCTCCATTGCTGAACTGTTATCTGGACAAAATTGTACCAAAATCTCAGAAATTCTTTTGTGATTTCAGATGCTACCGATGTGGCAGGCTTTATTAGTGGGTCACTTCTGTAACATATGACTTAACCGGTGGCTGCGTTGATGATTTCCAGGCAAAAAGAATTTCCCTAACTTTCATAAAAGCGAACTAATTGCTGTTTATCTGTAGAAGACTTAAACTGTGTGTCCTAATAGACAGTAGTTTGACTTACTATGATAGTGTGTCGAGTTTGTGGTAAGCGGTGTTGTCTGGATCAGATGACTTGTACAGTTGGGGGTTATTCTGCATCTTGTGAAAGATTAGGGAAGTTGTGGGGAGGATCCTGCACATACTCTGAAACTACCATACTTCTGTCCTTTGAATTAAATTCTGCAACATGCCTTTTATTAAAAACAAGAACTCACAAATGTGAACAAAGTAATGCAGCAGTGTAGGTAAACAGTTTGGAGGGGACGGGGGAAAAAACTGAGCTTCAAGACAAGCCTTGTTCGAAAAGTTCAAAAAATTTACTCAAATTTCAGTGCTAATTGCAGTACCCATTACTTTTGCAGAGGTGCTCCCACAGTTCTAGCCAGTGTCAAACAATTTCTTAGAGGTCTGGGAAGCTTAACTTTTCTCACTCTTAAATTCCACAGTGAACCTACATCACCTTGGAAGAAGTTGGGCTACAGGAATGTGGTAAAACAAAAGGAATATGCTGTTGATACAGACTACTTCCAAAATTTCACTAAATCGTATCAAAGGATGTCGCAAAATGTCTGGTCTTTTGAAAGGATCAGGCTTTCTGACACCATAATGTTATTGAGTATGTATGTGATCATGGATTGCCATGTGCCAAGGTTCAGGTACATTTTTCTGCTAGTCGTAGAACTAATCTTGGAGTGTGTAGAGGATATGAAACATGTTGGAGTCTGGTACACGCATCTGCCTTGAGCAGTGGATTTAAAGCAATCTGCTTGTTGTATTTTTTGATGCAAGATGATTATTTGTTCATTCAAAGTAGCTCTCTTAGTTCTGTGGTTTTATTTGGCTAACAAGCTGAAAAGGGCGTACCCTTTCCTAGTTCTTTTCGCTGTGAAGAAACTACTGAGTTCATGTTCTCCCTACCCATGAGTCTCTAGCTAATGCTAGCTGTGAGAAGGGATGCGTTGTGTTAAGTCACGCCTTCTCGCTCCTGAGGTCTGATCCCTTCCCAAATGATGCAGCTTGAACTTTCCCTTAAAACTTTCCCTTCAAATATTCTCTAGGCTTGCTGGGAACTTCCCGTGTCCTCTGATGAAAATTACTAAATCCACCAGAATATCCCCTTCCAAACAACATAAGCTCAGAGCATAAACAAAGCTTGCATCTGTATAATCCACGCTGAAGAATTTACTGATTTATGAATGGTGTCATCATGTGCTGCTTACATCTCAAAAACAGATGCTTAACATAAGTTGAGCTGATATATACTTGTTGGTAATTTTATATTTAAGTCTGTATAGAGTTCTTGTAAGGTATACAATAGTGAAATATCTGCAGGCTACAAAAATAAAGCCGTATCAGAAGAAAGGGACATGAACGAGACAGCTGGGGGAAAATATCCTTAACGTGATGTGTATGTTTGAATCAGTATTTTGTGCCCAGAAGGCGAAGGCTGCACTCAATGGAGCAGATATCTATGCAGGATGCTGCACACTAAAAATTGAATACGCGAGGGTAATGCTTGGACCTTCTTTTTTAATTTTACTAGAAAAATACATATAATCAAGACTTAACCTTTTTCACTTTTACTTTATTTGAACAGCCAACTCGACTTAATGTCATTAGAAACGACAACGATAGTTGGGACTACACTAAACCATATCTGGGCCGACGAGGTAGGTTTTCATATGTTATCGCTGTAGATGTTTGACTGTACTAATGACAATCCTTTATACATGGTCAGGCTGTATCGCAATAGTAATTTCAAAGCAAGCCAGTGCTGCTGAAGGCTGTGTTCACAAGCCAGGAAATTAACCCTGAGCCCTAGTGCCCCCTACTGCTGTGTGCTTGAGCCACTTAGTTCAACAAGGAGCCCACACCTGCAAGCACCTTCGCAGTTCTCAAGGACTTGCATTTCTCCAAGCAGCTCTCTCTCTTTGGAGGAGAGGAAACCTGGTACAGACTATTCCTTACAAACTACAAACTTGCACACTGCTTCTCCTTCGAAAGGACTCTTTTCCCCTATGTTGGACGAGGCATTAAGAAGGATAGAGGACTTCAGCAGGCTGACTCTACACTTCATCATGCACCACATCGGCATCAGCAAAAAAAACCAAACAAACAAACAAAAAAACCCTCTGAAAAAACTCAGACTTGCAATTCACCTTGTCTGCATACTGCATGCACCACCACCACAAGTTTTTAAAGGAGGACACTTTCAGTACTTCAGATTTGTATGGGATGAATAACATGATAGACTGTACCCATTCTGTTCAAGTTTGTATGTATGCTGGTCTTATTTCCCTTAAAATTACAACTGAAAAATTGAGAACCTCCAAAATTAAGAGCCTCTCTTGTTGGTATCATTGACGTTGTAATCTTTTTATTACTTGCTGTATGTGAGAGTTGCATTCAGTCTTAACAGTGTAAATATTGTCTAGTAGTAGGGAAATTTAATCCTTATCTGTAGATAGTTGGAACTGAGCAGTGCAATATCAGATAGGTCCCCTCAGTTATATTTAAGTATTAAAATAGGGAGATTCATAATTGGTACAGGCATACTGTCTCTTAAGTACTCAGCTGTAAAAATTACTAAGCTTAACTCATGTCAGTGGAAACTATGACTATATATGTAAAGACAAACTGCTGTGAAGCCTTACTCCTGTAAAGTGTTTCTTTTAAAAAAAAAAAAAAAATCTGTAACTATTGAGTGCAGTGTTCAGTAACTTATGTACAATAATGTGTGCAATGTAAAGTTAGAAAAGCAAAGACAATGTGTCCAAGATAGAGTATCTACTTATCAAAGGCTATATAAGAACCAGGGCTTTGGCCGTCTCAAGTGGTATGCACTTTCAAAGTAATTCTGCAGAGACGCTGGGCTTGTAAAACTGTTGTACAACTAAAAACTTAGGGCTTGAATTTTCAAAATGAAGTTCTTGTAAAAAGTTAACAAGGGAGCTACAGTATTGGTTGCAGCTTGTAGATTATGACTATTTGTATGAGGATTCAAATTTTTTTTTCTCAAATTCCTGAGTTAAAAAAGGAATTTTGAAGAAACTCAAGGGCAAGAAAAAAATCTGAAGGTTTGAATTTGAAAAATCTGAAGGATTAATTTGACCCTTATATCTTTTGATCATTGCAGTGTTTGGAGGCTGACTTGTAACATTGTGCATCTAATTACATTATGTAATTGGTCTGCAGATAGATATGGCTGTATGAACTAAATGTTCCCCAAGCTAGAGAAAACAGTGGAAAATGAAAAACTTAGGGTGGGTATGACTTGCTCTTTCTCAAGAACTTTCACACTACTCTCTTGTTTTCCTTTTGTTACTTTGACAGCCTGTCTCTATTTCCTATACGTCACTCTACTACACATAAGAGGAAGAGGAAGGGTTAGACTTGTATTATATACATATATCTGTATGTCATGCTATATTGTATATAGCATGATTTTTCATTTACTGTGGCCCATATCCATTTATCTAGAAAATGGGAATATAAATTGTTGAATGAACACTGAAATGTACTTAAGAAAGCAGGCATCTAGAGCAATTTTGCCCATAAAGTAATCCAGGACTCTTTTTTTTTTTTTTTTGAGAAAGAGATTTTTCGTATTTGTGCTTCAACTTACTGTTGCAGCAGTGTAATTTGGCTTTTGAACTTAATGTGACCTGAACTGTAGGGATCTGACTGCAGCAAACAAGGTCTTAGCTCAAAGGAATTTCATTCTGAGAACAAGCATGCTAATACATCCTTTCAGAATTTTGCACCCCCGCCTCAAATCTTAGGAAGGAAATGCATTTTGCTAATGACTCTTTTTTTTTTTAAATAACTGTTTTTAGTTCTTTATGGTAACAAATTACAGACTTCCCCATAGTATTTCTCCACTTAAGTAAACTTCCTAACAAGGTGCCTGCTGCTATGAACCCATATTGCATTAGATTGAACTGAAAAACCCACCTGACTTGTAGTATTCTACTTGCTTTTAGCTGGAAAGTTCAGACTGTAGTTCGGAGCATTTCTTTTGGTGGTAATACCAGCATACACAGTGACTCCAGGACCTGATTTAAAAACAAAACCAAAAAATAACAAACCCCAAACTTAAACAAGATTATAAAGAATCTTTCCTTTCAGAATTATTTTTAACACAGATCAGTACTCATGTTTCAATGCCTGTTTGCACAAGTATTTGTACTGGCACAATTGAGGGACTTTGTTCAAGGAAGGAACAAGTATGGGGCAAGGAGAGAGCAGTGGGCTACACCATCACAAGGAGGAAATATTTGTCAAACTGTGTTCTCCCAGAATTCTTTATTTGAAGAATATGGTCCTTTACTATATTACTGTGTGCAGTTTCAAAGGATTTAACTCCACAGACTGGAATTATAAACTTGATTTTTCTGAAAGATGATTACTGCATACAGTTTAAATGCTCAAAATACTTGATATGACTGTCCATTTGCTTTCTAGAGCCAAGAACCAGAGCTGTTACCCTGAAAAGGGAATAGAAAAACAAAACTTGACAAAAGTAATCTTCTATATATTTGAAGGCACTCAGCACTGTTCTCTCTTCAGGCTTTATTGCCAAAGTAAATATCTCACTTTGAACCTCTCCTCAAAATCCTGAGCAGAGAGGGCACATGTGTTTTCATCTCCCACTGTTGTGTTGTCTAATGGGAATAGTTCCTGTTTTTCAGGGGAAATACTTCCAGCTGCACTGGACTGGAGTTGGCATTTTCAACAGTCATACTTAAATTTCCTGGGAACTATCATACACTGATAAGTGTCTTGCCCTGTCTTTTCAACGTGGCTTTTTTAATTGTGAGAAATCAATTGCTGCTTACCACAAAGAAATCTGGAAGTTTAGATTTTCTTTGTCATGCAGCATGGATCTGATTAGATAATACAGCTTTGGCTGTGATGCACTGCTTTCCTCCAGTAATGTAGACCCCTTGCTTAACTTTATATCCTAGAGAACTGGGTTTTCTTAAAGGATTGACCGTTGTTTAAGTGCATTATTCAGTGATGTTTTCCTTCAACTGAACTGTTACGTGCTGCTGATAATGCAATAATGTACAATCCTTTCAGCATGCCCATAAATCAGTAGGTGTTCTGTAAATATATATGTACACGTATGTAATACTCTCTGTTTACTGATTATGAAACCATGTAATACAGGTTGTTGTTGGCTTATGCTGAAACTTCTTGAAAGAAGCCCACTTTGAAAATGTGTTGCTGTTGAAGCTAATATTATGATTCAGGTACTGTCTTTCAAAAGTACTGCATTTCAAATTTGTTTTAAGAGACACATAGGTAAATCCTGCTGTATGGTGTTATCTATACTAATGTGTGGTGTCTGTTTAGGAAAACTATTGGGTATTTCCATAAACTTTAAATGTCTGCATCTCCTCATTGGCCACTGCCCCCAATCAACTTAAGTGCAATTTGTTATACAGATGGCAGTCTTTTAATTTTGGTGTCCCAGGGCTACAGCTTGTGGTTTTAGATGTATAAAGAATGAGAAATTGTTTATAAAATTAACAAGGACTCAAATTACTTTTTTTGCTTCTTAACTAGAAGCTTTGTGTCTTAACTGGAGAAAGCAAGTGCGTAGTTGTGCATACTAAACTGTTTTCTTTCCCTTCCCACATGTTAGACAGAGGGAAGGGCCGCCAGAGGCAAGCTATTTTGGGAGAGCACCCATCATCATTTAGACATGATGGTTATGGTAAGTAACATAGGATGACAGGTGGTTATGATTTCTTTACATGTTATGGGGAATTCTAAATGTTCAATCAATGCTTAACTGTGGACCCCTACAGCATGAGTAGTTCACTGTTGTGCTGTACGTGCAGTGCTGTCGGTCCACGTTCTGAAAATGCTAGTGATTCACTGAAATCTATGTGCATTTATTGCTGTACTTCTTCCTTTCACGGAGAGCATCTGGCTCTACAAATTTATTCTCTGGAAGAATGTTTCTTTTCAGCTGCCATCACCCTAGCAATGGATGGAAAATGACATCTGTACTGGGAAAGCAGTTTTCTGAAAAACGGCAACGTAGCTTGATCAGTGGTTTGATGCAACACAGAGCTCTTTGATGTTCTTGCATGCAAAGCTGTGAATTGTGGGCTTTGCGTTTCTTCTAATTTAGCTAATTTTGAAAAGGTATAGCTATGTGACTGTATAAGAACGATGGTTTGGAATTAGTGCTGTAGATGTTACTAGTGCAGATGAAGATCTGCTGTCACTTTCATGTGTTGGACCAAGACCTCGGGGTTGAGAAACTAGTGTCCCCAGTTAGATGTGGCTTTTCTAGTTATTTACGCTCTTAACTGTCAGATGCAATGTGATTTGTCTTGCATCTTTCTTTGCAAATGTATTTGTGATATTTTACAATGTGGGTTGACCTTCTACCTACTCTTTCCAAAGGTTCTTCAAATCTCCAGAATTTCCAAGTTCCACCTTGTATTCACTGATGTTCTTTTTTCATTCTTCTGATACACCCTTCTACCTTAAGTAATGTGGCTGTCTCCTCCTATACCACTGTCTCCCTTTCAATACTGCTTTTTGCTGGGGAAAATAGGACAAAAGGTTCCTTTTATACTTGGCTTATGTGAATTTCATATTATTTTTCTCTCAGAAGAACAGGGATCCTCTTCTTGGTCTGTAATACTCATGTTTTCTATAAACAGAAGTATTGCATACCAGTAATGTCTCTTCATTTAAAAAAAAAAAAAATTGTCTATTTCAGTGAAACTTGTCACTTTACCTGTAGTGGAAAATAGGACAGCTTCATTTTGCATTAATGCAGGGGTTTAAGTATTCCTGTTTCTTCCAAGTGAGCTGTTTGTAGAAAGGCAGTCTTCTGACTTAATCTCGTCTCTGAAAAAGAGCTGTCATCTCCTCTCCTGACCTCTGACTAAAAGTTCACTCCTTTTGGTTTGTTTTCCCTACTTTGTAATGTTCTTTCTTGGTGTCATGTAGCTCTATAAGTACACATTGCAATATTGCTGAAGGTTTATTTTAAATATTTCTTCTGATAGGTTTATGTTCAAATATTTTGTATGGTGCAGGGAAGATACTATTTTTATAATTACTGAAATACCTTTTTTCACTTGTGTATAAAAACAATACCATGAAACAGCTCCTTCCTTCTTGTCTGGTAAACTAAGAAGAGACCTGGAACGTTAAAAGGAATTTAAGAGGGGTTTTGTTTGTTTGTTTGTTTGTTCTTCCATTTTTGGTTTTTTTAATTGGAAAAAGAATTAATGGAAACTGCTGTAACGTTGTCTTCCTCCCTTCCCCCCTTTAAATATGCATTACGTGTGTGGGCTTTTAATGCATGATTAAGTAGTGAAACTTGTTTCAAACAATATGAAAGCATGGTCTTTCATCTCCTTAGGGTCACATGGTCCTTTGTTGCCCTTGCCGAGCCGGTACCGAATGGGATCTCGGGACACTCCAGAACTTGTTGCTTATCCGTTGCCCCAGGCATCCTCCTCTTACATGCATGGTGGAAATCCTTCTGGGTCAGTTGTCATGGTTAGTGGGTTGCATCAGCTAAAGATGAACTGTTCAAGGGTCTTCAACCTGTTCTGCTTGTATGGAAACATTGAGAAGGTAAGGCACAATTTATTAGAAACTTGGAAACTCTCTAGTCATTTTAATTGTTTTGGAAAAAGCCTGGCTGAGATGGTCTAAAAATATTTCCTAATAACTTATAAAACTCTTGGTTGGGCTGCTTGTTGCAAAGTAATTTTTTCCCTTATCTGTCTTAGGTGAAATTTATGAAGACTATTCCAGGCACGGCACTGGTTGAAATGGGTGATGAATATGCTGTGGAAAGAGCTGTCACACATCTCAACAATGTCAAGTTATTTGGAAAGAGACTTAATGTCTGGTAAATATGTTCTATCGGATTAATAGTCTACCAGTGGGCAGATGGAATGAGGTTGCAAACGGACAATATCCCATTGTTCTGTAATCACTGTTGGAGTTATGATTTCCAATTTGCAACTATTATTTATTTATTATTATTTTTTTTTTTTTT